CGGCTAGCTGCCAGCGCTACAGATGTGCTCCGGACTTTTTCGATTCTGGAGCAACACAGGAAATGATTCAGCCCCCTTTGCAGATCGGTCTGCCGGCGCTCAGTCAGGCGATGGGGGGGGTGGTGGGCGGGATGAGGCGTGGGTGGGGTTGAAGAAGAACAAGGGGCAGGCCCTTCCAAACGTCGTCCCAATTTAGCCCCGTGTGCGGCGAGTACAGCACTGTACACGGACGGCGTGCGTGCGCCCCTCTGTTGACGCGTCGAGACTCTGCGTCGCCTGATTGAGGCTTGGGGCGGGGCGAGGGGGGGGTCCCTTGCCGGCGCGACTCTCTCTGCCGAAGACTGCGTCCTCACCGCTGGAAATCGTCGACCAAAGTGAAACGTTGCTGTTAGAGCAAGCGATGCTGCGAGAAGCATATTCTTTTGTCTTTACACAAAGCTTCCCTGCCCCCTATATATATAGCCCTCCAGCATCCCCATACACGCCCCTCCTACCCCGCTAGAAACTCCCCTCTTTCCGGTTTTTTGTTACGCCGTTTTGGGTCCGACGTCAGCTGTTGGGGTTGTGAGCGAGTCGAGCTGCTGGGCCCCCCTAGCCATCTCCCCTTATCCCCGCCGCTGCCCCCGTGGATGTTGATACGACTGCACTTCTGGGCCGACTGCCAGCTTCTGGTGACTTGTGTTGCCAAGTTGTGGTGTTTAAAAAAAATCTCCAGGCCATTCGTCAAAACCCACTGGAGTTTGCAGAACACAAACAATTTAACATCTTGTATTTTCAAAACAGTTTTTTTTACTGAAAACGGCAATAATAACCCAACCCCCGCAAGGCCATTGCAAACAAGGTATGGAAAGGCAAGACGAGTCAAAAGTGACTGCGTGCTCTAAACGAGCAAAGGGATGGGAGCTCGTCTTTCTTTGTGGACCTGAGCCAGAAGTGTAAATTCCACAATCCGTGGCAGGAGCCAGTATCTACTAAGTGCGTCGTGAGTGTTACCCTCAAACCGGTGCTCGTTTTATCGGCAGTGGAGTGATAATTGGCTGACGTGTGAAAAAACATAATGAAAAACTCCACAGTGCAGAGGTTAATGCTAACCTTCGTGTTGTTTAAGAGCCACTCAATGCCAGAGGAAGCTAAGGAAAGTTGAGCCTGGATAGTGGTTTCGATGGGTGACGACCAAATACAAAACCGGCTGTAGTAGGTAGTGCTGACAGCAGGGGGCAGTAATTCATCGTTCTTTACTTCACCCTCCACGAGCCAGCAAGGTAAAGTATGGTTAAATAACCATCACTGCCTGCACGGCATGGGGAAGCTCTCATCCAGCACTGGAGTCTTAAGCAGGCCATACATATACATGTACTGTAAAAATGTACGTAAGCTTGTGGATGTTTTCACGTCCGGAATATGACATGTTGGCTGCACGGTGGAGCTTCAGGAATAGAAGAAGAAGAAGAATAACTTCAGTGTGCAATTCCAGATCGACAAGCCACAAATCCCCACCACCTTCTAGCATCTGGATGGACGAAAAAAAAACCCCTCTCTGAGCTGGCAAGCTGCGCAAAGGCGCGCGTAACGAGCAGGAAATGGGAGAGAGTGGAGAGGGAGCGGCGGGGGGAGGAGGGTTTCTTCCATCCCCGTTGGACAACGCAGCCATCTCGCTGCAGCGGTGCCACCGCCCCCGCCCACCCTCTCCCCGCCACCAGCTGCGCCGTCTCTGCCAAATGATGCAGCAAGTGGGCGGCAGCCGACGATTAATAATGCATCGGGCGATCTGGCCACGGCGGGGCGGGTTAACCACGCTTTTTGTTTGCGCGTGCGTGTGTGTGGAAGGGGGGGGGGGTCTGCCTCGCCGCCCCCCCCTTCTCCTCGCCTGTGTGCGTGCATGAGTTCGGTGATGCCTGCGTTCCCTTCCCCGTCTCTGATCCCCCTGCCCCCCCCCCCCCATCTTATTGTCTTGTGCAAGTGTGCTCGCTTCCGAAATACAATCTGCGCTGTCAAAACAGGTACTTTGCTTACCAGTGTTGAGAGCTGCAATAACATTAGCCACAGTACAGCCCATTATTTAACGTATCCCCTTAGCCATAGACAGAGACCAAAAATTCCCCCATATAACCTGAAACAGACTGTTGCAGTTAGCGTTGTTAGCAAGCGTCTATTGAGGTCAGCACGTCACGTCAGCTGTGGTCCAGCGCCACGTACATGCCTGTCTCCCCAGTACAGATGTTTACGGTTGAGTTGGCTTAAAGGAGGCCCATGAGCAGTCCCGATATATACACATTTAAGTTTGTGTCAACCTAGAGGAGGCCCAGGACCACTTCTGAAATTGGGTGTGGCCGTGATTTGAACTCTGTCATCGGTTTTGTAGCGCAGTGCGGAACTGCACCACACTTTCTCGTACATCGACTCACAAACGCGTTCACTCGTATGGATGCAATGTGTCATATCCTCTCGCAATTAATTATGTCATTCAAATCTGTCAATGACGAGAAAACCCATTCCAACAGAATAAAAACAGAGCAGGCTGGAATACAATTAAGAACATGCAAAGTTGCATGTCACCTGAATGTTGTTGGCTGGCCACATTATATAAGTTTTCTGAGTCTGTCCTCTAAAACGACCAAATGGCCAAACATGCAGTTGTTTGGATCTGGTGATCCGATTTAAGGCCAAGAGCTATATAACATGCCATGTACATCTTTGTGTGTTGTTAAATCCAAATGAATTGTGCAAGCTGGAAGCGCTATTTTCAGTGACTAGTTGACTGTCCACCTATGAATCATGTTCATTTACCAGAGGAATTAAGGGTTTATTTACACAAGGTTTGGGAAGATGGGTGGTAATGTGGGTTTTTCTGACAGGCCTGCAGTAATTTAAACATAGCTGTATTAAAGCTAAATTGAGATGCCTGATTCAGAGCTTATTTTCCCTCTGGCATTAGACGGGGCAGAGCAATGCCATATCTGCCTTGCTTCTTGGCAAGAGAGAACTTGTTCTGTTGCATCTAGGGGCTCGTTTTGCATTCCTAAATAGGTCTCATGCCTTGCTGGCAGGGCAAAAGTAAATGTTTAAAGTGATAAATAAAAGGGGTTGTTTGCTCATTTTAGATGGTTACATTTTTATGACCCACATACTGCCAAAAATGCTTTCTCTGCCACTGGAATGAAACATTGAATTTTTGAAACATAGAGCCTGGCACTTTGAGTGTTTAGCACTCAAGCGTCATGTAAAAATATCAGTTAGTAATTTTAATTGTGAAAAGATTGCATTTGTTTTTACCAGGTAAGGCCCACTGAGCTCCATAGCTTTTTTTCATAAGTGACCTGGCCACAAATGATGGCCCAATGAAGTGGCTTATCGTGTGCAAATTTATAGCAGCCAAATACTCTAAATTCATGTTGATTATGAATGTGGAGGGAAAGACCGGAGAAAATTCCACGCGACTACAGAGAGAATATGTAAACTCCAAATATATACAGGCATCAGTCGGGATTGAACCCATGACCCCTTGTATACCAGGCACGGTAGTTAACATTTTGCCACCGTGGCACCCCCATGTAAATTAAGTAACAGGAGAAACAAATGCGTAAGCATATGTAATGCTTTGCAATGTAGCATAATTAGTGGAGCACCAGGGCTTGTGATATTTCATGCTAGGTCTCATCCCTGTAGCCTGGGTGACAAGTGTTCCACCCAATCTCACCAGATCTTGCAAGCTAAGCAGAATTGCAAATCGTCAGTATTTGAATGGGAGACTGAGAATACCAATTGTTGTAGATTTTGGCTGCGATGTGGCCAGAAGTTAGTTCTATGGAAATAAATTATTGAATGAGTTGCAGAGCTGCGAGTGTTTATTACTCCTTAATAAGGCCAGCCACTCATTAATGGTATTAGCGAAACTATTAAAATTCATGACCTCCTGTTAAAGAGTCTTAAGATTATTTGAAGCTCTCCTGGTTAAATAAAAGTCATTGTCATTCATGAAGCTGCACTTGTTTGTGAAGATCACCGCGTGGTCTCCTTGTGGGTTAAGACTCCGTCCCCATCCTGAGACCGTGGAATTTCCCACCGCTGGCTCTTAACCTCCGGTAGAGACGGAAGACCACCCAACCAACACTCGCTCATTCACGGGGATTACTTGTGTTGAAAATGTTTTAAAAAACTTTATGCCGCGAGATGAAAACGGTTCTTGTTTTGTGGCTCGTCTACGCCGGGGCGAGGGGGGCGCGTCTCCGCGCGTAACCCCCCCCCCGCACGTAAACCCCCCCCCCCCCGCACGTATACCCCCCCCGCACGTAAACCCCCCCCCCCCCGCAGTTGCTGTGTTTACCAGACGTGTCAGCATCTGCGACCGAGCGGGGGAGCCCTTCAGCGGGGAAGGGGAGGCGGGGGGGGGGCACTCGCGCGGCCGCGCTACATGTGCAAGCGCTCATCGAGTTCCCAAAAATAAAGGCCCGTTCGGCCAATGGGAGGGAAATGGAAATTGGAAAAACGTGTGCCTTTTTGTTTGCTTTAATTAAAGAAGTGGGGGGGGGGAGTGGGGGTGGCTGCCCTTGACCTTCGTGGAGATGGGAGGAATAATATGTGACAAATGCAATGCAAATCTTATTGGGAAGCTTTGGATCTGTGCTTGTGGTAGACTTGTGCGCGGATGTGGAAGCCACAAGGCTGGGGCGGCCAAGTGGTCTTGCTTGCGAGCGCGTGTGCACATATACAATTCATCTGTTTGTACAAAGGTTTTAAAGGCTTTCGTCCCCACCCCCACTCCCTGTATCAGTTCACTGAAGCATTATGTTGCCTGCCTGCCTGTGTGTGTGCGCGCGCGTATGCATACTTGTGAGCATCCTTTAATTTAGCGTGTACAGTAGAATTTTATGCTGTGGGCATTTTTATAAAGTTGTGTTTCGTGTCTCGCCTTCCCCTCCCGTCTCTACCACCCTTTCACCCCCACCCACCCACAAACCTCCCCCCCTCACCCCTCCACAACCCCTGCTCTTTCTGCACAGGGTGAATCGGTCAAGTACTTCTTGGATAACCTGGACAGACTTGGGGAGATGGTAAGTGGTCATCATTCACTGCAATTGTGCTTCATTTCCAACCGTATACATTAGATCACACACATCCCCGTTTTTCAATTTCACAGGGTGCGCAGGGTTTGCGCGGTGGTATCACTTGTGCCTCGGAGCAAGAAGTTCCCTGGGTCAAATCCTGGCTGGCACCTTTCTGCATGGAATGTGTATCTTCTCCCCTTGATCTGCACGAGTTTCCTCTGGCTTCTCAGTTTTTTTTATTCCTCGATAGTTAATACAATTATAATGTAACTGGTTTTCACAAAATATTCCATTGCTGAACATTGAAATGCTAATTACTTTGGATTTGAAATAGCAACATTGCCCCCTCCGGCACGAAACCTGGCAGGACCCTTCTAAAAAAGAGAGTTCTTGAGACTCAGGGTCTCTGAGTAAACATGCGGAATAATAATAATATAACATTTGTAAGTGTATGCACAGCATCCCCTCCGTTGAGTATGTCATGGGTAAGCTGTTTAGCAGGCATTGCTGACAACACGAATCCATGCCCGGCAGTGGGTTTCCTGCCATCTGCTGGACCAAACAGCACACTTCTGAAATGAAAGTGCTTCATTTTAGTTGATTTAATTTTAAATTTGAGAATGAAATAGATTGTTGGAATTCTGACATTTGTTTTTGAAGTAATATTGAAGGCAAGGTTTTAGGGCAGCCCCTTGTAGTTGAGGCAGCTTTTGGGTATTTGTCTGACGGGGGAAAAAACTGAACAACATGACATTAGAGACGTAAGCATTCTTTAATGCGTTAAATTCTCATATCAAGGCCTTGAACCACAAATAATGTTTTGTTTAAAGGAAAGCACAAAGTTACAATCGACTCGCAGTGTACCGCTGCAGCACTTGGTGTTGATGCAAGATAACCTGCAGGCTGCCATTCTGTTGACTGATGAAACGGAGCATTGGATTTTCAATTATGTGACTGAAATTTATTCCGACAAATAGATTTTTAGTCTCACAACCAATGCCTCCTTGGAGCAATCGGTGCTAAGCAGTCCTGCAATCCTTCACCCTCCCCCACTTCTGCCGAAAACATAAAAACGCCATTCCTTCCCCCCCCCACGAAATTCGAGTTGCATTTAAATCTAAGTAGCTCGAAGACTCCTAATTTGATTTGTTGTTCAGCCCCCCACTCCCGGTCTCTGATTGCAGCGTTTAGCACGACGCAGTTGTGCAACTTAATAAGCGTTTGCTTAAGTACGTAATGAGCTTCGTTATGGGCAAAGGCCGCACGGCGTGATGGGCTTTTAGCGCGATTAAACCCAGATCTCTGCCTCCGCTCAATCGCCTACCGAGTCATCGAAGCCTTCAATTTGAGCTTCCCCAATCGGTGGACAAAATCACCAAGAGCAGGAGGCGGCTGGAGGAATGCAGGCTGCCTCTTGCCTCATCGGCGTTGTTTGGCGTTATTTACTTGGCCTGCAGGCGGCACGTGTAAACATTTGGCTTGTGGAGGTGAGACTGCCACGGGAAATGCTACCGGGTGATGTGGATCTACGATTTACGCCTTTTTGTGCCTTTTTCCGGATTCGCGGTTGGAAGGTTTCCAGTTTTAAGTCTCGGAGCTCGACTCGGCCCATCGCCCCCTTCGCGAACGTCAGCAGTGATTGTCCTTTTACAGAAACGGAACCTTGCCTTAGGTATGAGGTAGTCCAAAAACTTGTTTAGGGCATTTGCTTAAAATGAGCAACCCTGTGCTTGTTTGGTTGAAAGGCACTTGGCGTTTTGGCTTGTCAAGCCGCAGATAGTCTCTTGTCAGCAACTTCTTCTACGGACACATTAAGCGTACTTTGAATACTTTGAATGCGTTGATTTGTGTGCGAAGACTTGCAGCAGCGTATAATCGGCGAGCAGATTTATAACTGCAGTGCAAATGCTGAAGAAATATATTCATGGGAATTGTGCAGGGTAGTTGGTCACTTTTACATTTTACAGTAAGAGGGGAGATGGAGCGATACAGAAACCAGCGCGTGCCTGTCGTGTGGCGAGGTTAAAGGTGCAGGGAACACCAGAAGTGAAGAGCGAGCAAAGTAAATTGGCCACCCTTGAAATTCGGGGGTTTAGGGGAAGCTATTTCAGTGGTCGAGCCTAAAAAAAGTAGCCCAGCAGCCTGTGTTGACGAGCTTTAACCCTGGCACCAGTGCTCTTGAACGCTTCACCGGGTGTCCGTTTCTCTTTTTTTGCCCGCTATTCCCTTTCAACATTTACAGCGTCAGGAGCAGTTGGCAGAGAGTGCCTGGCGATGTCAGTGTAGAAGATAATATACACAACTGATAATCATTGAGAACACACACCTGCTCGGATGGAACTTAGCGTTGGGACAAAGAGTTACATTGGTGGTGCAGTATGGCCTCAGTGGCTCATTCGATGCAGAGCAAAACTGAAACATCTGCAGTTTAGTGACGTGGCATAACACTGTTACACCAAAGCTGAGCATCTAATAACACAATGATGATGTTCGAGACTTTGTGTGTTCACCAGGAGAATGCTCGGCCGTGAGAGGCATGTGCAGACATGTGCAGGGCTGCCCGACACACACACACACAATAGTTGCCATAGTATTTTTTTTAATTAAACATTAACTTGGAAGAAGGTGGCACGCTGTGGCGTAACGCACGGTTACAGCTTTTCATTAGGGTGCTACAAGGAGAATCGTGTTGTCCGTATCTCTTTACATTTTTTTTTTTACAAAGTGCAGCCAGCCTTGAATGGTTCTGCAAAATGAAATTCAGTGATGTGCCATTAAAGGAAATCGGTACCATCTACAAAGAGCACAAAAGCCACCTCTGGTTTGGCGCTTTTACAGCAGCAAGAGGGTGTATGCCAAAAGTGGTGTCCGGTAACATTCATTACCTTGCCTCATTTCGTTGCGCGATGCTGCGGTCAGGTCTGCACGGAGCAGAACAATTTTCATAATTGCTTACCCTGACACCTTAATGTGGCCGCGCTTTCAATCGTGTTAATTGTGTTTTTGGGCCAAAGTGTAAAAAAATATATAATATACGGCTGGCCATGTATCTCGTCCGTTTTTATCGAATTGCAGCACCGTGCGTCGTGTGCCAGGTGCGTTGAGAGGGTAATGATTGATGCCGTCCTTTCAAAATGACAAACCCTGAGCGGCGCGCGCGCACAAACAGCGGCGTGTGCCTTACGTTGCGCGTGCACGGTTTAATCCAGCTGCAGATTAGAAATCCGGCAGGCTCCCCAGTCGGTCCGCGAACTACTCGCTCGCGCGCGCGTGACTCGACTGAACTCGCACGTTGCCCATTAGCGTCTGCCCGAGCCTGTTTCTATTTGTTTTCGCCACAACAAGCGCACCCCCAAAGAGAGCCGCACCCTAGTATGTCCCAGGCGTGGTGGTAGTGGTGGTGGCTGCCACTTCGACGAGAGAGAGGAAAATTACAAATGTGCCGTGTTGGGTCGAGTGAATGTCAGAAGTGTGTAGAGGATTACCCACAGACTGCACGGAGCGGTGGTTGGAATTTAAATGAAGGTTCTGGGACAGTATTTCTAAACGCCTGCAGGCCAATTTTGAATTGATGCAAACGGGTGGGGGAAACTGCACAGCACTGGGCTGTGGCTTCCATCCGCTTCTCCCCTTGTGTTCTTCCAGCTGCTGTTCTGTGAGTCAGATCTGACTAGCACCTCGTTGCCTCATAAGATAAAATTATTAATTTAGTCTTGCTTTGTAGAATTTCTTTCGCACAAAAACAAAGATCCCCCTTTAACAGACTGTTGGGGAAAGTGCTGTTAGTGAGCACCTGTGAAGGCTGGCACGGCACACGAGGGGGTGGGTGGCCAACGCCACGCCTGGCCGCCTTTGTTTCCCTAGTGACGATGTTTACACATCGCACCAGGTACAAATTTTAGGTTGAGTTGACCTCGTGTTGGCCGTAAGAGGGATTCGAACTCTGGTCGCCGGGTTCGTAGCACCGCGCGCGCTGGTCACTGCACTACCGCTCCTCACTCTCACACACGGTAACACTGAAAGTGGAGAGTTTTTTTAGTATTTCCTTATGTGGGCTATTGCAATTATTAATTCATAATGAAAACTATCATGAGTGATAATTAATGCCTTCTCCCTTATGTCGGCTGTTGCTTGAAATATGCTTCCATTAAATATTTTTCCACTTGAAAATATGCACAATATTTCCAAGCAGTGTTATGTATTTGTTTGATAATTTCTGTGGCGTCCTTCAAGTCGGAGGGTTGTCATTGGTCAAACTTCTGCAAGGTTCATCGGTCAAAATGTATTCTTACGCTGACAGTACACAAATAATTGTGGGTTTTAGCATCACTAGATTTCCTGTATACAATAGGTTCATCCATAATAGAGGTTTTTTTTGCTAGATTGCGTAAATATATAAATGCGTCGTTAAACCTGCCGCCACCCGACAGCCAACTAGTAAGGGTTGTCACGTAGACAGAACATAGCCAGTTTGTCACGAGTACAGCCCACTAGTGTGTTGGAGAGCCAAGCCACAACATTTACAATCTGAGTACGACGTTTCGCCAGTAATATAAACTAGCTTCATCAGGCGACAGCCAGATTTGTGGAGAAGTCCACCTGTTTACGTCCTGATATAGAGGCGTAGATGTGCTGTACTAGTGACGAATTGGCCTTTTCTTTTTACGTGACAAACCCTTACTAGTTGGCTGTGTCGGGTGGTGGCGGGTTTTAACGACACATATATTTACGCGATCTAATAAAAAACCTCTTATGGGTGATATTGCTCGCGAAAGCCTAAATGTTAAACCTACAATAGGTTCACTTTACCCCTGCAGCCACTAGAGATGCTACATTCCACAATGTTTAAAGTAACCAATCCTTGACCTGAATTGCCACAATTCGCTGAATTGCAATGGGGTGAACTGCAACGGGCCTAGTGGTCACCCAACATTTAATTTCACACCTTTCACAGATATTTTATAAATTTTCATGATGGAAAACCAACGTCACACGTTTTAGAGTTCTTCCAAAAAAAATTTAATTTTATTTGCTAACCTAGTTTCAGCATTTGCCATGTTTTTACGGATAATTTTTATTCAATATCTTAGGCAAGTCCAAAGTTAAAATGATATCATTGGATAGGGTGATGGAGACAGTGGCACAATTAACGCGGTACGTGACAAATCACTCGTCATTTTCTCCATACTCATTAGTAAGTAACGGTGTGGGCATTCAACCCCACTGCCGACCTTGAGCTAGTGGGGAAAATCTCACATTTGTGTGACAGCAGCTGATGTCTCCATAGCCATGACCAGTCTGAACTTACCACAAATTGGAACTAATTTAATCAGCCTCAACGGGGGCAAACAGAAACACAATGATATTGAGCAAGACAAAGAGATTCACAGGCAGGGGCTCGTCGGGCCGGGATAAGCCGGACATCTGTCTGCAGCCCTGGGCCAGTGGTGGAAAACTCCACATTTCTATGGTGGTGCATCTATCTATCAGACAACCACTGTTGACTCCCCCACCAAAGTGGTCGTTATTTTTATAAACCCCAGAGGGGTGATTGGTCTAGTAAACACCCAGCCAGGACTTGAACCGACAAACCTCTGATTGCGAGCCGCTCACTCCACTGCCGAGTCACCTTGCCAGTCATGTAATTTGCGAGCGATTTTCTAATTTAGACCGTGACGCAGGTACACACGGCCTTCTATTTTTTTTTTATAACGTCACGAGATCTCTTCACGTCCCCTGCAAAGCCAGTTAATACATAGGCAGTCTGAACCAGGGCGGGTGCCACTGGGCACGAACCGTGAACCACCGCTTGACAAATACCCTCCCTCTGCTGCTGCTGTTCCCTCGTTCTCCCCACACAGAACTACCTGCCCAGCAGACAGGACGTGTTGCTTGCTCGCAAGGCCACCAAGGGCATCGTGGAGCACGACTTCGACATCAAGAATATCCCCTTCAAGATGGTGGACGTGGGCGGGCAGCGGTCGCAGCGCCAAAAGTGGTTCCAGTGCTTCGAGGGCGTGACCTCCATCCTCTTCCTCGTGTCGTCGAGTGAGTTCGACCAGGTGCTCATGGAGGACCGCAAGACCAACCGCCTGGTCGAGTCGATGAACATCTTCGAAACCATCGTCAACAATCGGACCTTCCAGGGCGTTTCCATCATCCTGTTCCTCAACAAGACGGACCTGCTCGCCGAGAAGGTTCGCACAACGAGCATCGCGGACTACTTCCCGGACTTTGTAGGCACGCCGCATCAGCTGGAGGACGTGCAGAGGTTCCTGGTGCGCTCCTTCGACTCGAAGAGGCGTGAGCGCGCTACGCCGCTCTTCCACCACTTCACCACCGCCATCGACACGGAGAACATTCGCTACGTTTTCGAGGCCGTGCGGGATACCATACTGCGCGACAACCTCAAGCAGCTGATGCTGCAGTGACGTTAACTCGGCTCCTCCCCACCTGCCCTCCCGCCCCCCCCAAGCTAACCTTTCAGTGAGCACTGCGGTGGCCTTTTGAGTCTGGGTTGATGGTTTCTTCGAGTAATTGTGAATCGCTACAGGCAAGGGCTTCTCAAACTCCACTTCTTGTGCCTCGCACCCTGCTGGAAGCTTGCAATTGTACCGGTCGGCCGTCTGACATGGACTACGTGCAATTTCGACTCAAGTTGCATTTGAACGGAGAAGAGTGGTTAGTGTGGCGACGAGGATGGAGCTGTGGCATCGAAGCTTCAGTTTTGAAAGCCCTGGTATAGACACTTAGCAGAAATGCGATTTAAAACAAAAAGCACTTTGTTGAAAAAAAAAGACCAGTTGAAAGAGAAATCTGACTAGATATTCAGAATTAGTTTTTGTTTCCAACTTGCTGAGGCTCTTTGACTGAAACGTTTTATTTCAACAAATTGTATTATTGTTTTTCCATGTGTTCTGCCCACATTACCCTCTGCGTTAGCCTTTTCCTGTCCAAAAGAAGAAGAATATCTCTGGGAAATTGCCTGTTTGTTTTATTTCACGTGAAAGATTTTAATTTGTTAAATCTCTTTTTTAGATAATCCAGGTTATATTCCCTTACCCTTTTGCACAATATCGCTTAATCATTGTTCATCCCAGGGCAAATGAGGCTGCACTCTGGTAATAGAAATAAAAAATGGGCATGCCATATATTTTCTATATTCGGTTCTCCTCTTTGGAGGAAGCTCTTTGTGCTCATTTGTAAGAAGAAAACCTCTTGATCAGAATGTTGATCTTATTCCATGGGTGTCACGAACTTGTCTGGGCTTATGTTTACGGCGTTCCGTGATGCGTCTCATTTTAGCTGCTTAGTTTTACTACGGCCATACGTGTAACGAGAGGGCTCTTTTAGGCCCTCGCAGAAAGATTATAGGGCCCACGTTGAAAGCAAAAAAAAATAATTGGTTCTAGCTTGGACATTTTTTTCGACTTTAGTGGTCTCTTTGCCAAGATGGTTACTGCTTATTGCAGCTCGTGACATGTAACTGTAGGAGAACATCTGTGACTTGACCACATTGCAGGAATAGTGCCATATGTGTAATTGTAGGTATATAGTAATAATAATATAATCCGCTAGAATATATTTGACACCAAATTTTTTGTTGTTGCTGAATGATAGTGGGATTGGTCCGTCCGCTGTTCTGCTTCAAGGGAGTCGATGTTCATTAAGGACTCGCCACGTAACAAGACAACGGTGCCTGGGCTTGCATGGCTGCAAGGTTCTTTAACATTCTGTCCGACACAGGAGCCTGATATAACCCTCCCAAAGTTGTCCTGTACTTCTTTTCTAATCGGCCAGAGCTCAGCCTTTGCATTAGGAGCTGAGTGACACTGTGAATAGTAACAAACACACTGTACGCGATTGAAAGCATTTGTTTTAGACTGGAAGATACCACTTAAAGAAAATCTTTCCGATTCGTGTATTGTTTTTTGTTCCATATGTATCTCAAACTTAGCATTTTGTATATGTTTAACTTGCCTTAAATCGCTCAAGATTTTTTTTATTATTATTATTTAATGGAAAAGAAACTTGATTTTCCATTTTGTTTTTAGAAATTTTTATTTTTTACTAATTCTTTGGTACAGTCTCGTTTTGAGTGCGCACACCTTTGCACGCACACACGCCTACAAAGACTCTTCTTCCCTTCCCCACCCGCTCCGCTGTCCTCTTTGCAAGCGTTCAGCCGCCCTGGCAACGGTCGACCACGCCTTTGTTTAACACAGCACGTCTCTCGCTCTCTCGCTCGGTGCCTTCCGCGCGTGGGTTTCTTTATTTATGCAAGGTGTTTGAGAAGGGCGGGCATCGTAAATGGTGTGGTTGTGGGGCGGGGTACTCTCGTCTCCTCTGCCACGCCAGCGGTGTGGAGCCGGCCCGTTGGAGAAAGTTCCACGGAGCGCCCCACCAGGCAACGGCACTCGCCACACTTTCAAAATCTGCCGCTTTCGGTTTTCCTGATGCCGACCATAGCTGTGTGTTCAGCCCACCGCAACCCCAGGGGGGGCCTTGAAGTCGCAAGGCTTCTTCTGCAAGTACACATTTCAGGGATATTTTTTTTAATTGTTTATTAATTGATTCTAATGGTAGCTGAGGCGTTGTGGACATATACGTACATTTTTTTCCCCTTTTAGTCATAGTCGCTATAATACCCGTAACTTGTTCTGTATCGTCGTCATGTATTTTTGTAAGCTTTTAATCCGATTCAAAGTATAACACGAGTAAATAGGGCTTATGTTTTTTTTTTGCGCTCCACAGGGCGTAGTGGAATATTAAAATGTAAAAAAAAAAAAATTTTTGTTTAGTTTATTCCATTTATTTCGTGTCGTTATTTGACGGCAAGCGAGTGTCGTCGTCTTCAAGCCAGGCGGCGACGCGGGGGCGGGGGGGCATAAATAAGTTGCGTTGCCGCAGCTTGTTGCCTCGAGCGCTGTCGAGGGCCAAACTCCAGAACCGCGGGTGCCTTCTGCTCGTCCTCGGCAAAAGCAAAAGAACCGTCGCCTCTGACGTTGTTGTCGATGTATTATTACCCTCACTAGTTGCTGTTGTCGTGGGCGCAATTCAACCCTGTTGCCAGTCTTCCCAGTTTGTGGCCGTGTGTGTGGTGCGCGCGCACGTCTCGGCCAATCGGTGTGCTGCAGCTCGCCACCCCTGACCCCGTTCCCCCCCCGGGGGGGGGGGGGGGCGCCCACGTGTTGCCTGGACGAATGAGCCATTGTGTTTGTTGTGATGGAACCGCGCGCCTCCACGCCTGCCACCCCCCCCCCCCCCCCGTTACCACTGAAGCGTAGGGGCACGTTCGTAGTTGGACGCTCGTGTGTCATTGCCTTACGCGCGAGTAGCGGCTTTTGTCGTGGGCTTCTCGTGGAAAAGTTAATTGGAAGTTGGGAGTATGAAGCGTTTATATTTTTTTGTTTCCTCCGATGACAGTCGATGAGAAGAAGTAGCAGCTGGCAGTGCAGTTATGGCAGCAGATTGGGGAATGTACATAATACGTGTGGGGGTGTGGGGGGCACACATCTGAATGCATCACGTGGTATTGTAACAAGGCGGAGTGTTTTTTTAGGCATACACTTATAGTACATAATACCGCGCACACACACACACACACACCGTGTTCTTAACATTGTCGTGTTGCCTTTACACTTGACCATGGTAATTAATATATGTTGCAGCCAGTAGCGGGCGCTGTTAAAGGTCGCAAGGTTATGCCGGTCCATTGGGACTGATGAGAAAGAGGATGTCCAGAAATCCGCGGAAGAGCCAACCTTTTAAGACCACCGTTCGACCTTTTACTGAACACCGATGTCGATCGGTACCAAACTAGAATTAAAGTAGAACGTGACAGCCATGTGACTTTGCATCAAGAGGGACAACTCCCATCTGGATGAAAATGAGCAAGCAGCAAGGAGGAGGATGAATAAAACAACCCGAGAGAACTGTCATTGTTCTGAAGTCGAATCTTAACGGTTTGCTAGCTTCTGCGGATTTCTTTTATTGATGGTGATGGAGGGGCATTGCTGCTGTGGGACTTTGAAGCAAGTGGTGGTTTTAGATTGAAGGTCTTAGTGTAGTGCTTAGCATGGGTGGGTGGGTGGGCCGCATGCACTGCAGCTTTGTAGAGTCAATGGTTAATGGGCTAAGGTATGTGTTGTTGGCTAGAGCAAGTGAGTGGAAGTAATGTGATTGTGGCAGGCATAACCATATTATACACATGCTAATATCCTACTCTTTATTAAAATAATAAAACTAAAAAGTACCACATATTAAATGTGCATTCTTACCATTTTGTTGTACATTTTATGTTCCTATTTTGGTAAATTATTATGTGTAAATTGAATTACGCTTAGGTTCTTTTTTGTATTAAAATGACAATTTTACTTTGCATTTTTGTAGTGTTTTGGACGTTCATCTGGCTTTTTTGGAAAATACATTATGGAAGAGTTTCACACTGTGAGGATGGAATAAGCCAAACCTAATACCCGCTTCTGCCTTGCGTAAACCTGTAACATAATCTGTACATACACAGGGATTGTACAATAAAGATGCAAAAAGTAGCCCTCGGCATCCAGTAGTTTGTGCTCCTCTACATGCAAGAGGTTGGGCTGCTGGGGTCGGTGTGGATGCTGATTTGATTTGGGGGGAAAAGGCCATAATTCATTCAAGGTTGCTGGCTCCGGCTTATCATTCACCCAGTCAAAACTACATTTTTATTCTTTGGGTCTTTCGGTAAAGTCACGTAGATAGAAAAAATAACAATTAAATAGTAAAAAATAAAGTGTCTACATCATTGGACCTCCTTTGCCAGTACCAACATAAAATAAATGGGGTTTTCCCCTTTTTTCTGGCAACAAAACTGAAACCTTTTTTTACAAGGATTCATGTCTGCATTAACCACAACTTACAGTCAAAATACAAACAAAAAAACATACTATGATAATATATGCGTTGTCCTTGAAATCGATTGGTCCACACCAGAGACAGCTTTCTTTACAGCCGAGTCTCAATTGGTGCTAGACCAGATGACGTCAACTGTACGCCTTTTGTCATCTGCTAGACCAGATGACGTCAACTGTACACCTTTTGTCATCTGGTCGAGCACCAATTGAGACGAGGCTCTAAAGAAAGCCGTCTCTGGTGTGGACCAATCAATTTCAAGGACAATGCATATATTATCAGTGTGTTTTTTTGTTTGCATTTTGACTGCAAGTATTGTGGTTAATGCAGACATCAATCCTTGTAAAAGTTTCAGTTTTGTTGCCAGAAAAAAGGGGAAAAACCCCTATTATTAAAATTAAAGTGAATAAAAATATCACGACGTTTCGATCGCAACACGAGCAATCGTCATCAGGAGAACAAAAGAGGGGGAAAGCTGCTGTGGCAGGCTGTTTTTAAAGGTTTGACATGGGGGTGTAGCTCAAGGGTCATAAAATAAGTGGCCGGAGCTAGTGATGTTAAAGTGAGAAATTAGCATATCAATGTAAGGGATTAACATGTCAATGTAAGATCGCAGAGCCGCCGCCGCATCGAGGACACGAGCGACGGTGGCTGTGTTAGTGTGAGATTTCACCTGTTAATGTAAAATCAGAGTCGAAAATAACTGCTCACATTGGAAGGTAGGATGGAAACATCACAGCCAGTTATGACTTAAACTGGTTAACGTCCTTCCGATGATTGCTCAGTTGGGACCCATCTTCTCGGTTGAAATTGTGTCTGTGTCTATATATCTGGATGACTTCATGAACGAATCTTTGTTGATAGCCAGTGGGTTTGCAGAGTACCTTCGTCTTGGAGAAATCAATTTCGTGAGCCTACCGCATTAAAACAATGATCAACCACGGCTGAGGTATTGGTCCTACCGTGTTTCAGATCTGCCTTATGTTCACGAACACGGTCCGAGACATGTCGCTTAGTTTCCCCAATGTAACTGCTGCCTCAGACACCGCTTAGTTTGTAGACGCCGAGGTATTGCATGTCAGGGATCACATCCTTCACAGATTGGATCACATCACGAATTTTATGTACTGTTACATCTTGTTTGCTCATGATTTTGGACATCTTTTTGGTGACCCCTGCTATGTATGACAAGGTGAAGGTTTTGATTGGGTCCTCATGTTTTTTTCCCAACGTTTGGGGTGATAGCTTTACGGATTGCGTAGTCTGACTGTCCATTCATCTTGAGGGCTTGGTGTACGTGTTCCAGTTCACTGGCTAGGTGGTGATGGTGTAGAGTTTTGATGAGGGAATTATTTTGGGTGGTGGGAGTCAGGTTTTAGATAGGCATCTGTATGGGTGGCATTCCTGTTGACTGTCCCATTGAGCCATCTGGTCTCTTTTCGATTAAAACATCCAAGAATGGTAACTTGCCATCCTTTCCCACCTACATAGTGAATTTGATGGCTGGGTGTATGGAATTGATGTGGTTGAGGAATTGGTTCAGAGCTGGTAGGCCATGAAGCCAGATGACGAACGTATCATCTACGTACCTCTTCCACAAGGACGGACGTAGTCGATGTCTGGATGGCATCTGTCTCAAAATTTTCTATGAAAACATTGGCTCCAACTGGAGATAAGGGAGAACCCATTGGGGTACCTTGAACTTGTTTGTAGAATGTTCCAATCCAGGTGAAGTATGTATTGGTAATGCAGTGTCTAACCCGGGCCGGTACATCAGCATTCAGTCCTTGTTGGACTAAATCTTCAATTATTGCAATGGTGTCAGGCACAGTAACTTTGGTAAACAAAGATAATACATCGATACTAACGAGCAAATCACCTGGAGGTCGTGAGATGTCCTTAATTAACGATACCAAGTGAGCTGAGTTAAGCACAGTTGAGGTGGTCTTACCAGTGAAATCGAAGCCAGTTTGTAGGTGGGTTCGTCAATGGTGGAGACGATAGGACGAAGTGGTGTACCTTCTTTATGGATTTTTGGTAAGCCATACAATCTCCTGATGACGATTGCTTGTGCTGCGATAGAAACGTGATATTTTTATTATTTTATTATTCACTTTATTTTTATTATTTTATTGTTATTTTTCTATCTACGTACCGAAAGACCCAAAGAATATGAATTCCCGCAGTCACGAAAGCTTTAAGTCAAGATTAACTTAATTTTTTACGAAATTGTAAAGGTTGCGGTGTCGGTGCGTTTTCATTGTCCGTACGGGTGGTACGATGGCTCGTGCACGTGATCCATTGCATCGGCGTGTTCCTGTTTCAGGCCTTGCCCGGTATACATCTGACCAGCTCGAAACGTGGAGACAAAACCAGCGTCGAAAGGATTCGCAAACCCTGCACTGACGGCGCCTTTTTCATTCCCGCCCATGTCGTGATGACGCAAATACGTGTGACACTCTCTCGCACCTCCACACACCGTGTGAAGTCGTTTCGTGTGGCTTGCACATGACATCCGCTCATAAAAATCGTTCAGAGGACAGAGGTATGTTTGACAAGGGCATTACACAATCCATGTGTGTGCGTGGTTTTTATTCCAGCTTTAAATTTTATTGTTTAGGCTTAAGATTGATTAGTTGTAAATGTACCCAAAGGTCTTACGAAGTAAAACTCAAGTGCAGGTGTACATTTATAACGCCTGTGTACGTATATAGTACATAATTATATCAAACAACAGCAAGTACAATATACAATATTTAACATTTCCAGTGTTCTTGCAGATAAATAGACAAATAGTGATATAGTTTCCATTATACCCCATTTTAATTTGTTGCACATTGACGAACGTTGTCTATCGAGAAATTGTCTTATTTTGGTCTGGGCACAATTCACAAATTGGAAGTGGATAATATTCTAACATAAATGTATGTGGATTCATAACGTGGCACAGATCTCCAAACAGGGCAAAACCGCAATGTATTGGCTTTAAAAAAATACAGTAGATTGTATTGTCATGTTTCGTAAAAAAAGGCTACGCGTATTGACTGACCGCTCGTCATTTCCCAGACCTCAACCGTGCAGTGCTGCGCCTCTAAAACCGTTGCAATGATCCGCCCGTGTGGGGCGTGTTACAACGCAGCGTTCGTGAAGACACAAGCCCTGGCTCCGCAAATAACTTGGCCAGAAGAGGGAGCCCTCAACCCGACTGGAGTCCCACCGAACCTCGTGTTTCTTCTCGTCCTCCCGCGCAGTTACTGTCTCTCGAGGCCCAGTTTCCTGCTATTACCAACCCTGTGGTGATGCGTGTACCACAGCGGCTATGATGGGCATGTGGATGAAGACGAATGGTAATGATCTAATCTGGGTTTGTGGGGGGATGTCACAAGGGCTGGTTTTAGAACGAAAGAAAAACAATCTGCAATTTGTATTCAAAGTACAGCTGGGACGCATTGTCCATTCGGTTGATTAGTCGGTTATAAATAATCCGCTGCATTTGTGGTCGTCACTTACTCGACATCCTTAAAAAAATGGCGACAGCCTCAAAATCTCGCTTCACGAAGGTGGGAAACCCCCATACGTGTCAACCCCTTATCGGTGCCCTACCTTATTACAGACCTTATTGGTCACCCTGTACCCTTATAAATCACAACGTTCATCCTACAAAGTCCCATCACAAGGGAAGAAATGCAAACAAATAGACAACAACACATTGCCGGTATTGAAAACGGCTGTGCGCCGTGTGGACCTGAACTCTCAATTGGACCTGAACTCTCAATTTCCCTGTACAAGAATACGGGGTCATACACCGTATTCTTGTACAGGGTTTGACAGCGATGACCCCCCCCCCCCCCCCAGCCCGACAAGCTACGCGAGGCGTGGCGCGGCCGATGCCGATGACATAGCCAGTCCCGTCCAGCTCCCATCCAGCGGCATGCCTTGGGGGTGTTGCTGAGAATCCTACCCCCCCCCCCCCCAAACTATTTTAGGCAAGGCGTAGTAATTGAACGGATTATCGATCGAGGAATGTATTACTCCCAAGTCGCATAACCTCCCATCAAGCAGCGAGACTGCAAGGCTGACGGCTTATCGATCGTATCAAACGTTGACTTTGGTCGTATCGAAGTGAACATTTTCCACCACCCGGACAGACGCCTTTCATGGCGTTTTGAGCACAGAGAGGGCAGGAGGTTTGGTGCATCGCTCTACTGGTCCGGCTTCCTGCATTTGTCCCTGGAAATTCCCGAGTTCTGACTGGCGGCGCCGTGCAGCGCCTTCCTGTCGCTGACGCTCAGCTTCGCCCTGAGGCTCTTGCAGGACTTCTCCGCGATGCTCCGCACCTCCGCCATCTGACGGAAGCTGCTGTTGCCCTTGAGCTGTCGCCTCAGCGTGGACACCCGGGCGTTGAGAAACCCCCGGAGGCTCCCGCCGCCACCGCCGTCCACCTCCTTAGCCCCGGCCTCAGCCTCGCCGCGCCTCGCGCGACTCTGCCGCGTTCTCTCCCGCAGCTCCTCCAGCGCGCGGTCCCAGTCGGGCGGCGTCTCGTCGAGTCCCTCCGCCTCTTGGCCGCCGTCCTCTGCGCCGCCGCCGTCGCCGGCTTCGTCGTCTCCTCGCAGCTGGTCCAGGCAAGCGAGCAGCCAGCGCTCGAACGAGACGAGAGAGCCACGCTCGCCGGCGTCCATCGCCGCAGAGTCCCCCGCGTCTCGCAGGACGCCGTCCTCGGCCGCTGTGGCCGTGCGGTGTTCGTGGCTCGCCGGGCTGCCACGTCTCTCCTCGGCTGTGGCCGTGCGGTGTTCGTGGCTCGCCGGGCTGCCACGTCTCTCCTCCGCTGTGGCCGTGCGGTGTTCGTGGCTCGCCGGACTGCCACGTCTCTCCTCCGCTGTGGCCGTGCGGTGTTCGTGGCTCGCCGGACTGCCACGTCTCTCCTCCGCTGTGGCCGTGTGCTCGGCGCTCTCGGTCGGCTGCCGGCCGGTGCTGCCGCTGTTGTCGCCGCACTGCTGCGCTCGTGGGGGTGTGAGGTCGTCTGAGTCGCCTGTCCGCTCGTTGTCGTCCGGCGTCGTTTGGCTGCGAACCCAATCCAGCAGACACTTGGCGACGGGCGAGAGATGGGTTGGGGGGATTTAAGAGAGGGTGAGAGGATGAGAGGACGAGAAGGAGAGTGAGTTGTATGCAATCGAGAAAAGGTTGTTTTTAAAGATGTTTTGTAAAGTCTCCATTACACCATTGCTTGCTATGTTCAAGTTTAAGGCTTATTTTATGTAAGCAGGTGACAGCTCACGAGACTGGGATGAGACTCATTCGTGATCTGGGTCACCAAAATGACGAAGCAATGGCAAGCGAGTACAGCAATGAAACGAATAGAAAGCTGAGCAAAACCAACCAAGTATTGGCTGGTTCATGACCACTCAATATAGGTCGGTAGCTTTGCCTATTCGTGCTGTTGGAGGAAGGTGTGTGAATACATATTCATCCTGTGGCACTTGCAAACCGCTTGGCTCGTAATGAGATTGCGATTTAAAAATCCCAATGAGATTGCGATTTAAACCCCAACTGATAATGGACACCAACTGTCGTTGATATGAATACATTAACCCCACCCCCCCTCTGGTTCTCGCACCTGATTGGCTCACAAGTGACGACATCACAGGAGGATTTCTCCACAACTCGAGTTGTCGCCTGATGATGCGAGTTGTAATTACTGGCGAAACGACGTACTCGGATTTGTAAATGTGGGGTTTACTCTCCAACACACCGGTGTGCTGAACTAGTAACTATTTGGCCTGTTTTGTTTCAGTGACAAACCTTATTAATTGGCTGTGTCGGGTGGTGGTGGGTTTAATGGCACATTTACACGATCTAACCCCCCCCAAAAAAAAAACATGGATAATATTGATAATACTGCTCCACGGGTAACCTATCGCTTCAGTCCCCTGATGTCGATCATAACGAGTACCACTTTGTGGGAAGTCAACAGTGGTTGTCCTACAGATTAGACTCTTACCCCCCACCCCCCTTCATAGAAATGTGGAATTTCCACCACTGGGCTCATGAGATAAGCACCATCGCAATGCTCAATAATTATCCAGACTAAACTTTTTATTGTGCCAGGTAAGGCCCACTGAGCTTATTTATCACAGACAAATACTATTAAACGCATGTTTCTAAATGTGGAGAAGGAAAACCGGAGGTTCCGGAGAAAAATCCACGCGACCACGGGGAATGAGAGACACGCAAACTCCAAATATACAGCAGCAGCAGGCGTCAGGGTCGGGATCGATCCCCACGACCTCCTGCGTACCAGGCCAGGTAGTTAACATCTCGCCCCAGTGGCACCCTGCGAGCTCCCTCCTGCCTAACCCACACTAGGTCGAGCGTCGCCCTCTCCCCCCGCCACCTGTGGCCGTGCCGGCGGCGAGCCTCACCCGGTAGCGCGGGGCGAGGCGGAAGGCGGCCGCGTGGTGCAGCTTGTGCAGGCACACGGGGCACAGGTGCGGCGGGCGGGCGCGCGCCATCGCCGCGCTGCGCGCGCCCTGCATGAGGCACGCGAGCCAGCGGCAGTGCGCCATGCCGAGCAGGTGGCACGCCACGTGCACCACCGCCTGTGGGACACGGGGGGCGGGGGAGGGAGCCGGCGGGCACCGGCGGGCACCAGCGTGGTAGCCCGGCCACGGAGTCCATGAGCACGGGTCGGAATATTTCACTTTGTCGGTATCCTCCTGAGGTGGGCCTAACTTTGAGTGGTTCTGTATTAAAAACAAACATACTGGGGCTTCTGCTTTCGTGTGCCTGATGTCGATGTAGAGCAACGACTACGATGACACATTCAGGTGGTCGGGCCAGACGACCGCATCAGGAGCAGCGGAGTGCACCGCTGTGATGTCTCCTCTGTGTTTGTGGATGGGGTGTTGCGTGGTCATATGTTGTATATGGTCTGTTCTGGATGACCACAGTCGCATTTCACCTGGTAAGACACTGAGCTGTATGGCTCTTTTTTTCAGAAGCGACCTGGCCACAAATGATAGCTCACCGAAGTGGCTTGTCACGTGGAAATTTATAGCAGACAAAAGACTCTTAAACGCGTGTTGATTCTAAATATGGAGTCAAAAACTGGAAGACCCCGAGAGAAAAAAAATATCCATGTGACCACGGGGAGAAAGACATGCAAACTCGACATACATAGAGGCGTCAGAGTCGGGACCCACCAACTCCTATATCCCGGGCGAGGTTGTTAACATCTAATTTCTTAATGTAGTCAATAACCGTGAGTTGCGCGATAACCATTTAAAATGAGTTGTGTTATAAAATAATGCACTTTAATTCGCCATATTCATATTAATACATCAGTGCTGCTGAGGTTTTGCTACCTCAGGTGGTACCAATTTCTTCTCTGGCCCGTGGACTGAGCGCACAAATTGAGAACTGCAGCTGTTGACTATTGAAATAATGGACTACACTGTGCTAGATAGAAGAGGAAGAAGAAAAATATACGGGAGGCAACATGTCTGGAAATGGCACTCCTTCATCAATGGTCATTCCCTGGAATGTTGCCGATGGTGATATATTTGTATGTACATTTCCTTTGAGGGCAGTGCTATTGACAAACTTGTCGAGTTTTTTTGTTATTTGTGCTTGCGCACCACTGCTAAAGCAGTGTAACGGAACATGCCGTTTAAGCATTCTACTTTGATGAATCAAATTTATAAAATCGCAAATCATTTGCAGGAGTAAATGAAATGATTTCCAGTGGCGTCAGACCCCGCGATGAGGTTGATGATGACTTCATGAACCTCATCGTGGTCACCACATCACCGCCGAGCGTGCACGACTGCGGGGGAGTTTCCCGCCTTTTTAGAGTCCGAGATACTCGCCCCCCCCCCCCCCATTGGTAAATGGCTGCCAATTCATCGTGTTTACAACAAGCATTTTTTTTTAATAATCAGTTATTCATTGTTATTGAATAATTTCTACACTACATCGTCATCATCAGCCACCGTGTGCCCAAGCCGCCGACCATCCTTCCCGTTCCATTCCCTGGCTGCCACTCCATCATTACTCTTGGCCACCGTCCCTTCAAGCGACGTGTCCTGACAAAGCCCCACTTATTTTTCTTAAAAGTTTGAAATAATCTCAATATCTCACCATTTTGCGGACTTGTCGCACGGTACTTCACTTTTGCTCATATTTACTGTGAGCCCTCCTCTCATCTACATCCTCCCGTGTTCCCTCCCTACCATAGGAACGTGCCAAGCGCATCACTGGCTCGGCACCACCAAAGGAATTTAGCACTGCTCCACGGAGACACTTGCGCTTTGATAGCCACATTCTCGTATTGACGAAACAACTAAGTCGGATCATTCTTGTGATTTGAAGTCATTGGTGGTATTGAAGACATTGCAACATTCACATAAAATCAGACAAAAACATTTTTGTTGAGATGCAACCCCATTGGGGGGGGGAGGGGGAGGGGCGCTCGAGGTGACTCAGTCCACCGCTAAAGCCAAGTCCACGAATTTTGGTATTTTTCTTTTTACAATTAAGCGATGGGCGCCCACAGCCTATCCTTATTCATCGGGCTTGAGAGCCAGAACAGAATGCAGACAAAGGCAGATCGTGTGGTTACTACTTCTGTGTTTCTCATTTGTTGAAAGTTTGTTTCACGTCGACCGTGTCGGGCCCCCTGCTGAGTTTCTCTATGCCCCTTTCAACGAGGTCACGGGTTGTCTAGATACAAATTTGTCCCAAAATGACAACCACGCGGAGTGACGCAGTCACATCGTGTGCTAGCTACTGACCTCTCCCTATGTGTTATGTTCTATGTTGAACCTCTTTCGCACCGTGCGTAGCCGACCGCGCTCATCGAAGGTGCGGGGGGAAGGACAACAATCTCAACACAAAAAGCAGTTCGTAAGAAATGAGTTTTAAATCTCTGTTGAGGTAACTCGGCTTAAAAGCAGGGCTGGGTTAGCTTGCCCAACCGTCAGGCTCGCATGCTATGCACCATCCTCAACATTAACTCCTACAATTGCTCAATAGCAGGACTCGTCGTGACGACGGAGTCCTGAGATGCCCTCATCGGAGGCATCGCTGACCTTGCACGAGTGCAGGAGGAAGTCACCGCCCGGCGTGGCGGGCAGGGAGAGGCCAGCGAACCAAGCGCCGTCGCCGCTCCGCGCAGGGTCCAGACGGGCCTGCAGGAGTCCCACCACGGCGGGCGAGTAGCGCCGCAAGAGGCTCGCGTCCGCCCACGGGCCCTGCGGCCCCCTGGGCCGACACCAGGCCTCCTCTTCCTCCTTCTCGTAGTGGTCATCGCTTGCATCGGCATCGCGATCCGGCGCCGTGGGGTCACTTCCCAGAGGTGGCGACTGCTGCTGCTGTTGTTGTTGGTGGTATCGTTGCTCATATTCATTGACAAGTTGATCTTGAGGCTGCTGCTGTTCTTGCTGTTTCTGAGCATGCTCATCTAGCTGTTGATTTTGTTTCTGCGACAAATCATATTGGTCTTGTTGGTGGCAATCTTGCTCTTGGTGATTGTGTTGTCGATCTGGATTTGTCTGCTGCTGCCGCTCCAGCTGCTGCAGGTGTTCTTGCTGCAGCAGGTGATCTTGCGCTTGCTGCTGTTGATTCTTTTGCTGCTGCCCTTGATTGTGCTTCTGATTATGAATCTGCTCTCTATCTTCCTGTTGCTTCCGTTGCTGCTGCTGCTGCCGCTGCCACCATGGGCCTCCCATGGGGAGCTCCTTGGCATGCCGGGGCATGACGGTGAGGCCCGGCCATGGAGGAGGCCGCTGTTTATGACCGGCCTCACGCAGCCGCTTGTCGAAGTCCGGGTCGAGTCGCGCCAGGCTGCACACGGCGACCCCTGCACCGTGGTCACGAGAGTGAGTGTGGAGCGGTGGTGTTGGAGACACCGTGGTCACGAGAGTGAGTGTGGAGCGGTGGTGTTGGAGACATTGGCGAATTCTCGCGTACAATCTTGACTACGGCGCTACGTACCGTCGTTATAGAATACGGCACTGGTGCCAACGTTGCAGGCTATGGCACTGTGAAGCCAATGCTAGACAAGGTCAAGATGAAAATGTGATCATGGCCAAAGCCAGCGATGGCGTCACACCCTGTAAGCATTTTCTACCGTCTGTCAGATCCCAAGACTGTTGCTCGGTTACTGAGCAACCTCCTAAGATCTGCCCTAACGGTATCTCGCCGTCCGGCTATAGGTCTTACCTTCAATCATTGGACCCGTGGAGACCATTCCGATTTTTTTTCTCGGAAATTGGCCTTGCCCCCAGCCTGCACACGTGCCCCACGACTGCCACGCTTTATCCCGTCTTACTAGCACCTGCCTCGGACACTTGTACTCAAATGCCGGTGACTTATTTTCGAGCCGTGACATCATTATTATTATCATTATCATCTCTGATCCATGACGGACAACACGCCACTAGGTACCAGTGTCAAAACAACGCGGCACTGATGCCAATGTTAATGAACGGACCGTGGCGCTGGTCTGGGCCATGGCTTGCAGGCACCTTCTGCGGGCAGGCACTTCTCAAAGACGAAGTCGGCGGAGTTCCCAGCGTACAGGTCGGCGAGAGTGAGCCCCAGTAGACAGGAGCGTCCAGGAGCTCGCAACCCCTTCAGGTAGTGCAGCAGTCCGTCTGCGGGGCGAGATGCACTTTACACGGTGCGCCCATAAACGGCTCGTATAGCTCCTGCGAGCACATCCACGCAGCGCCTACGATGAGTTCCCGCGCCTCCGATTCGCACGGTAGGGCTACGTGCGGTTGCGAAGGAAGTTCAACACAAAATCATTTTCAGGAGGATCCTGAATTTATTTGGTCATTTTGTGAATTATTAAAACAAGGCCCGGAGGCTAGAGCAATGAAGAATGTATTCACTTTTTAATGAGGTGGTCTCTTGTCCTAGTTATTTGTGCTGCTCGTGGTTCCCCACGATGGTGAACAGTAGGTTGATGGCTGTGTTCCTTGTGGGGAGGAAGCCAACATGACTGTGAAAAACCAAGGGATAAAAACCCCCAACAGTGTACAAACATAGGCAAGCGTCGTCTTGCGAAGACTAAATTATCTGGCGGTCAGTAGATGATCTCATGCACACAGTGATCTGGGCACAGTTCACCAACCTGTGTCTCGCATCATTGGGTAATGGGTATGCGTTATTGCTCACTGGTAAGATTGGACTGCGTAGAGGAATGACTCACCTAACTCGTGACCGGTACTATGCCTACCCCATCCCTAATCAACTAGTGGCTAGCACTAGGCCTACCCCATGCCTAATAAGCAGGTTCATTTCCAGTCCGTAAAATATTCATTGGTCAGATAACCTTTCATCAAGGTTTACTTTGATTGGCTCGAGAGAACTCTTGTCACCCCATTCCGTTGCCCACCCGAGTTGCTGTAGTCAACTAATGGTTAATGCATCGTTGGCAACAATTGCCCGAATGGATCATGGCATTCAGAGGTGGCAACCCCGGCGCCATGGTGGCGAGATGTTAACTACCTCGCCCGGTAAACATGAGGTTGTGGGTTTGATCCCGACCTTGACGCCTGTATATTTGGAGTTTGCGTTGTCTCTCTCCGCGTGGTCTAGAGTATTTGGCTGCTATACATTTCCACGTGATAAGCCACTTACCGTTGAGCCATCATTTGTGGCCAGGTCGCTTCTGAAAAAGAGCTACATAGCTCAGTGGGGCTTTACCTGGTAAAAATAAAAATAAAATGGTTTTAGTTTACCGTGTGTTGGGCCCATGTACGTGGGTGTGTGCGGACTTGCCGGCGTGGATTTGCCAGTGACCCGTTCGCGCGTCGCGGCGGCAGGGGCTGCGGCTCTCGGCGACGTCGAGGGGCTCGTTGAGGCGCACCGTGAAGCCCGGCAGGAAGGCCTCGGCGTAGCCGCGCACCGCCGCCACGAAGGCGCGCGACCTCTCGCAGCCGGTGTCCGTGAAACCTGCACGAGAGTCGTCGTGATCATCGTCGTCGTCATCATCGTCGTCGTCATCTGCGTCACGGGCTCTTGTCGTCGTCGTCGTGGGTCTCCTCAGCCAGTGCGGTGCGCTCCCCGCCCCCACCCCAATGCTTTCGAGGGAGATTCGTAGGCTGCGGCATGGATACCGTGCAGGACAAAACCATTGAATTCCCAAAGGAATATATAGCGCCTCATTGTGTTGACAAAATACACGGTTACTTAAAAGCAAATGCCTTACCAAATGCACACTTATTACGTCAAAGATGCCTTACTAATCCTGCAAGGACTGGTGACGTGAACGTGATGTCTCTGTATTGTGGCCCAAGTAACCTTCGTAGTTGGATGGGTGATGACGATGCACCCTTGAATCTGCGGTGTCTCGGAGCGCTTTTAGACGCGATAAGCGACTTGCATCACAACATCTCATCATCTCAAGCGTTTGAGGTGCCACCCCTGTCGACAACCGTCCGTGCGTGGCACAAGGTGACTCGGCACCTGGCCTGCAGGTGAGCGTTAAGACTCTCAGGCAGGACGCCGATAATTGCCGTGCGTAGTCCCAAATTGAGCGATTTGTAGTTCTCCCGATACGACCTTTTTGTCAGCATCCAAAATTGTAAAGAAAAAAATAAGAATAAGTTTTTACCCTTTCTGGCAATACGACAGGAGGTGTTAAGATGTTCGAACACCAAACAGAAACCTTTTGCAAGGCATCAAGTCCGCATTAACCACACACAGTACTTGTGGCAAAACATGCAAACGAACATGCTCCGATAATCTATGTAAAAGGTCTATGAACATCTTGACACTATGATGTAAAGCTTTCGTGACTGCAGGGATTCATATTCTTGGTTCTTTCGGTAAAGTCACGTAGAAGGGAAACAATAAAAATATGAAACATTAAAAACATTAATGTTTTATATTTTATTATTTTATTGTTTCCCTTCTACGTGACTTGACCGAAAGAACCAAGAATATCTTGACACTTTGTTTTATTGCCAGAAAGGGTAAAACCCATTCTTATCATTTTGTAGTTCCTACGTGACAAATTCTGTCTCGCGATTCATCCCACCTCTGAGGGTGACGCCCCCCCCCACCGCCTCATCCTTACCCAGAGGCTGCAGGTGCAGCGTGGGCCGGGGGGTCCCGTGCAGCGCCCGGCACCGAGGGGGGCAGCCCATCGCGAAATCGCGGAATCCTTGCGGCTCTTCGGGCCACTGGCAGAGCAGCCACGCCGGTGGGGCGGCGGTGCGGAAGGGGCCCTCCGCGCCCCCACGGTGACACCCCGCCAGCAGGGCCCTCTCGCCCCGTGACAGGCGCTCCCGATAGCGGCCCGCGAGCGCCTGGTCCGGACCGCCCGCCAGAGCCTCCATGAGGGCGCGCGGGCCGGGGCCCGGCTCCGCGTGGGTCCACAGCGAGAGCATGAGCTGCACGCACACCGACGACGAGCAGCTTCACGTCCCTGTTGGGAGCGCGCCGTGACGGGGCCACCGCCTTGGTCAAGGAGAGAATCGAAAGCCCGGTGGAGTGCCACTGTGGAGACAGGCTGACCAGACAGGCCATGGATCCGGAACGACATCCACTCAGCATCTCACATTGCTGTGCTATGGCTATCGTACCTGCACATGCACTAATGGATTTACAATATGCAAGAAGAAGGGGTGTAATGATTGACCTCCCTCGTGACAATGCGGCGAATCGTCATCAAGCAAGATCAAGATTTAATTTAAGCATCCTTTTTTTGTATTGCGGTGAAAGTTATGGTTTCTAGTGGCGATAGAGATCACGTGAACCCATTGTCTGGAAAATGCATCAATCTAAAAATGTATTCGAACACGTATTCGATACATGTATCTTGAGTTTAATCTGGCTTAATAGAGAGGACGATATGTCATTACCCAACCTATATTTTATAGCACCTTTAAAGTTAAAGACTTCTCAAAGCGCTTAAAAACCAAACAATATATGTGTTATAAAACACAACAAATTAAGAGATTAAAGTGAGCCAAATAAAAGACGGATATTTGTTGAATATTCAATTGAAGTTCAAAGCCTTTTCAAACAAACGCATCTTCAGGCGCAATTTAAAAAGGGTTATTGAATCAGCCAATAAATTCTTACTGAATACAATACAGGTCCACATTGTCAACCAATCCCTGCGACTTGTGAATAGTTTCATAGTTTCATTTATTTGGTATAGCCCTGTGAGCCATTCGGCTCTTGAATCGGGTGCAACCGAAACAAACAAAAAAACAAAAACATGAACAAGAAAACATGCCAAAGTGACTTTGTGCATGTGCAAACAGAAAATCCAGGAAAAAAACATCAAAATATTCCTGAAATAGCACCGTACACCAACGCTGTGTGCAAAAATACCAGTGGGATGCAAGTCAAACAACAACAAGAAAACTTAGATTAAGGCCATCAGTCTAACTCCGTACTACAATAAACAAAAATATGGCCAAACAAAAAAACTTTAAGAAATCACCAGAATAAAGCCATAAATGCAATGTAACAGTGATCATAGGAACTGTGACCGAATTTTTAACAATAAACTACATAAATAACATGTAACACCAAACCCTAGAGCCACAGCTGGCTGCATGAGTCACTCCACAACAACAGGAGCATCAGTCGGAGTAACACATTTTTCAATGCACCTTTAAGATCAGCACACTAAATCAAATACAGATAATACTTTGCAGCGGTCATCCGGAGCGAAACATTTTATTTTATTTTAGGCCACTGAATAGCAGTGGCAGCTAGGGGTGTACGACTCCTCTAGAGCAGTTTTGAGTGAAGATCTCATAGGTAGTGATTCAAGTTGCAGTTTAACACGTAGGCTTTCGCGACCAATGATGACGTCACCCTGCTGCTCTATTTAAGACCGGGAGCAAGCGAGGGCTTTACCATTCTGGCGAATTGCCCGATGATGCTGGATGTAATTACCAGCGAAACGTCGTACTCAAACTGTAAATGTTGTGGATTCACTCTTCAACACACCGGTGGGCTAAAGTAGTGAATTATTTGTCTTTTGTCAACGTGACACTTTTTTTTGCTGATTGGCTGTGTCGGGTGGTGGAAGGTTACGACACATTTATAAATAACGCGATCTAACCCAAAAACCTTTATTATGATTCAAGTTGCAGTTTATTGGCAATAGCATTCCAGACACTGGGGGCATCAATAGCAAAGGCCCTTCCTCCGGTTTTTGTATGGCAATAGGGAATGTGAAGCTGGTAGATGAGCGAAGACCTGAGGTCAAATTTGTTCTTTGAAACAGAGAGGAGATCCAGCAGCAGGTAGTCTGCGGATTTGTTTGTAAGTACATCGTGAATAAATAAGATCTGGTGCACAAGCCGTCGAACATTAAGAGATGTTAAGTTTGACCCAATGTAGAGATCACAGTGGTGAGTCCTATATGGGCAGTTCAATGCAAATCTTAAGGCCGAGTGATAGATGGAATCAAGCTTCTTCAGTACAGTACTTGGGGCTGATTTATACACGATATACAATAGAGTGACAGACCTCGGATGTCAGGAGACAGGAGGTCAGTTAAGCAATGGGGAGTGAGACTACATGAAGCAGAAATCGACTCAATTACCGGTTGTGAGCACGAGTAGTGTGAGAAGAGCATTTCAACGGCTGGTTTTAGATTCAATAAAGGTGTACATCAACGAGGTCGCCACCAAATAGCTCAGATGTCAAGAGGTCAGAGCGCTGAAAGCGGCACTGCTGAGATCCTCATCTCAAATCGAGGTGGCAGCCTCTGATTCACCAATGTTCTCCAGCCCAGTGGGTTGATGGTCTCAGTTGAATTTTGATTTAAAGCTTTCGTGGCTGCAGTAATTCATATTCTTAGCTCTTTCGGTAAAGTCACGTTGAAGGGAAACAATAAAATAATAAAATATATATAAAACAATACAAATTCTCACGACGTTTCGACCATAACACAAACGGTCGAAACGTCGTGAAAAATTCTCACGACGTTTCGACCATAACACAAACGGTCGAAACGTCGTGAGAATTTTTATTGTTTTATATATATTTTATTATTTTATTGTTTCCCTTCAACGTGGTCTCAGTTGAGTCACGAATGACTGCACAGAGACCAAAAAAAAAATCCGTGATTTTGTTTTCGGGCGCTTAATTTGGTCAAATGCCAGCCCGCAGAATTTCAAATATATGTTTGACTTTTCACGTGACCAAAAACATGAATCTTACTGGCAGAGCGAGTGGGAAAGTGTCTCCCTCCACTTGGAAAACTAATTTGTTTCGAACTGCTTTTTTGTGTTCAATTGGTTCTCATTCTCCCCCGCACTTACAATTAGCGAAAGAAGTTCAACATACATACTGTGTTGACCAGAAGCCACTGAAAGGGAAATTGTGGCTCTGTGTTATCCACTTCCACGGACCATTATCTAACATAATGGGTTGCTCTGCTCAGCGAAAAAATATTATTCGCCTTGTCACAGCATGCTGATAGCACGATCGGGAAAACATTGTGTGGGAAGAGACAAGAAGAGGTGTGGACCAACTTCCCAGCATTGGGATAGGGGATGAGGCTACATTCATGAATACTTCAGAGGCAGATTACACATACACTTGTTACTTCATTGGTAGGGGCGTAAAAAGGTCTAAACAACAACTCCCAAGATATCTGAATTCTAATTCAGGAATGTTCAAGTTAACGTCTGGAACTAAACACGGATCACCTCTGTTTTTAATATTTTACTGAATTTAATTTGTAAAAAATATATATATACCTTGCATCTATCATTTAGCGTCAGCAAAAGACGTAGACGGAAAACCCAAGCGGGAGAATCATCCCGGACTCGACGAGACAAGCATGCGGCGTGGAACGAGAGCGAGGGCAGTGAAACGTTGAGGACAACACGCACACGGCCCCCGTGGCTCGTGGCTCAACCTTTGAAGATTTTTGTCTCCTACAGCGCATTTCAAACAGTCGGTGTTGAGGTTCAATGATGGACAGGGATTAGTGTTGGAGAGTGGATGCTGCTATGCCATGTTGAGGCATAGGCTCGCACAACTGACTTGACCTGGGACTACGGTTCTAAAGTCCATCTCTGGTTTTTGCCTGGCAGTTAATGCGCATTGGTGTTCATTACTTTTTTTTATTGAAATCGCTAAGTGGCTAGAAACAGTGTCAGGTTAGTGCTTTCAATCTATCGTTGGGTGGAGCTTATCTGTTTAAAGTAAGTGGTGGAAATTCCACATTCCTGTGGTAGGCACGAGTCTCTCCATAAACTGTTGACCTTTGCCGCGAAGTGGTACTAATTTTTATCAACCCTGGAGGGGTGAAGGGCTGAATCGTTCCCCACCTGTGATCTTCCGATTGTAATCCATGCATTGTAATGTTTCTCCACTCGGAAATAGTCATTGAAACAAGGACAGTAGATTCGTACGGTTGGCTACATACGTTGTGAAAGAAGTTCAACGTCATACAATGTAGGAGTGCGTTTCTAAAGGCTGAGCTGTGCTACGAGAGTAAGGTGCAAAATGTTCAATGTTTGTGTTGAGCAAGTCAGCTCAACCCAGGTCTCCTTTGATATAGCAGCTCCTGGTCTCTGTGGACTTGTATTGAGTTGTAAAACTCTAACCGAGAATTGAGAGTCAGCCAGCCTAGCTGGCATTGCAGAGTCACGTATCTGTCACAGCTGCTACCATCACCACCACCACCATCATATGCAGAGTCATTATCAAAAGCATTGTTTTGAAATGTGTCCTGAGATATAAATGAACAATATTGAGATATAATAATAGGGTTTTTCCCATTTTTTTCTGGCAACAAAAATGAAACTTTCTTTTTACGCGGATTCATGTCTGCTTTTAACCACAATACTTGCAGTCAAAATGCAAACAAAAAACACACTGATAATATTGGCGTCATCTGGTCGAGCACCAATTGAGACTAGGCTCTCAAGGAAGCTGTCTGGTGTGGACCAATCAGTTTCAAGGACAATGCATATATTATCCGAGTGTGTTTTTTGTTTGCATTTTGACTGCAAGTATTGTGGTTAAAGCAGACATGAATCCTCGTAAAAAAAGGCTTCAGTTTTGTTGCCAGAAAAAAGGGGAAAAACCCTATTATTATATTTTGATACTGGCAAAGGAGGTCTAATGATGAAATGTTGAGATATTTTCAAACCTTAATATCAGGTTTGTGATCGTTGATTGTATTGTTTGTGAGAGCCCTTGTGAAACTGCAGAGTTGAGGTTTGTCCACTGTACTAGGATAAACCATTTCCAGGCCAGACTTCCCGGACGGAGATGATGATGATGACATGGAGACGATAATGGCATAATGATCACCCAATTTACGTTGTCCGACATTCTTTTTTCCACGTTAAAGCAGACGTTATAATTTGTAATAATTACTTTTTTGGACTTGGTGGCATACATCCAAATGCACTGATCACCATCGCAAAATAAAAGCGTGGGGATTTTATGCGGCAAATTTCACAGCGACAGAGGCACTTCAACATGCAACGCATTTACTCTGGAATGCCCTTCTCAACGGTACGACATGTTGATGTCAGTGGGATGTGTGTGCTTGGTGTGAATGGTGTGTACGTGTGTGACGGGTTATAGGCAGAGGGCAGGACAGAAACATCCATAGTTGTACCGTACAGTGCTACGACTTTCATGTCCCCTGCCTTCGCCAATGTGCACAGCATGGTGAAGTATAGCCAACTAACTTACACGACTCACATGACATGGCGGGGGCCTCATCCAGCAGTGGATTGACAAGAATGAAAGCATAACTGAGTGTGCGCGTGTGTCGGTACGGTTACACGTGCGAGCGCGTGCGTGCGTGTGTTCAGAGTGGGCGTGAAACACGTGCGCCTCCGATTGGCACGGTTGACCACGTTCGGTGCGAAAACAGGTCCCTGCAGGGTGGGCTGGTAGGACAAGTCTCTGCGCTGTCTATTGCTGATTTTACACCCAACAGCACGAGATTTCACTTCGTTAAAGCATTGAAAGGGGACGGACGGACGGACACATTAATCTATTGCAGGCTGGTACACTCAGTTTACAACTTCGTTCCTACCAGTATAAGTTTCAACATACATACATACGAGTCATAACCTAAGCAAGAGCCGGGGCGATTTGATGGTCCAACTCAAACCCTCGCTGACATCCCTCCACTATTGGCCGTGGCTACCACTATAATATCCACGTCTGCCCATCGTGTCCCTCGTCGTGTGCCACAAACAAACGCAAAGGCCCACGCGTCCAACCGCTTGCGGTGGATGGTGCGACTCACGTGAACGACTCCTCTGGAGAAGGAGCCGTGATGAGCTCGATCCGAGACGGCACTTGCGCTATCCACGCGTCACTTGTGGCCGAACGAGGTCCCACTCCCCGGAGTTTGCCGACAGCTGTTGAGTTTTCCGACGACAGCCGTCGCCCTCGACACGTGCTGTAACCGCACCTCCCGCACGTCACCGCTTCGTATTCCGTGAAGAGAGGAGGGACCGAAAGACCCAAGGAGTAATGGAGGAGGGCTACCGCGTGACGCCGAGTTTCCTCTCCGCATGACGCGCAGAGATTTCCATCACCCCCCAAATTCACCCCCCCCCTCCCTCGGGTCCCACAATCTCCTCCCAGGTCGGCTGGGCTGATTGTTTCAGTCGTACGGCAAGGCAAAAAGGGTTCAGTGACACAGAGCGGAGAATGAGAATATTTATTCATACTGGAGTAATCCTATGAGCTCTCAATAAGTGTTCGTGTCCTTCTCATAGATGTCCCAGTTAAGAACGTTGAAACAACAAACGATACAGCAACAGACACGACAGTCGTGCAAGTAAGGTAAACAAAGCACCCAAACACACAAGTAAAACTCAACCATCACCATCCTACCAGGCAAAGCCCACTGAAGTTTTAACTTATTTTTCAGAAGCGACCTAGCAATCACAAAAATGATAGCTCAACAAAGTGGATTATCACGTGAACATTTTTTAGCAGCAAAATGATCTAAATTATTGTCGGGGGAGGTGGGGCAAATGCTGTTTTTACCAAACAGATAAAGCATACAATCGCACCATCAAAATAAACAAATGAAGAGTACTGCTAACAACAACATTCAAATTGCAGGATGCATGCCATAGAAATTAAAATTGGAATCATCAGCCATGATGAAGTGACTGCTGGATGAAGGACTCCCTAGACGCCACGTCTTATCATCCTGCCAAATAATAAACCATCTTGTTGTACCGTTCTGACCCACTCCTACTGAACATCTGTGAAAAGAGCTTTATAGCTCATCGGATTCCTACTGCAGTAGAAATAAATATTCTGATTCTGATCTTAACACCTCAAATCGAGGTGATTAAATGGCTCCATCTCCCTTTGGTGTGCATCTCAGATTCACGATTCGCCATCCTCCCTTCCTGCCACGTGCACTTCCCAAACACATTCACTCTTAAATTTTGATTTAAAGCTTTCGTGACTGCAGTGATTCATATTCTTGGTTCTTTCGGTAAAGTCACATTGAAGGGAAACAATAAAATAATAAAATATATATGAAACAATAAAAATCTCACGACGTTTCGACTGCAACACAAGCAGTCATCATCAGGTGTGAAAACCAACGGCAAGAACATTTGAAAGAAGTGGCGGTTTGCCGTTGGTTTTCACACCTGATGATGACTGCTTGTGTTGCAGTCGAAACGACATGAGAATTTTTATAGTTTTATATATTTTATTATTTTATTGTTTCCTTTCAACGCGACTTTACCGAAAGAACCAAGAATATACATTCACTCTTCCTAACAGTTTGAATTTACCTGCGTAATAATTTACCTGTGCGTGTTCTCTAATCCACATTTGCCATGTGTGAAATTATGATGATGGTGAACTCACTGTCAGCGGTCATACGATAGCAGAGGAAGCTCACGAGATATGCCTGCGTGGAGCATGCGACGAGGGGATAGACTTACGTCAGTACTACTTTATTATCCAACCGGTGCAACATCTCCCCACTCTGTCATGAACCAGGACTCCACAACGATATATTTGTTTCCACGTTCAGCAAGAATGTATACATTTAATTGGAGTAAGACGGGAATTGTGTCTGCGACTGAATTAGTGATTGGTGTAATGGAAATTGAAATTCTTAAGAAGGGAAAAAGTTCGACTTTGCGAACCCTTATGTTTACATCTGACAGTTTCGTCTTAGCCATTCTGCGTGCAACCCACCAAACAAGCTACACACGTTGCTTTCTGCTTCATTCCACTGCTCCAGTCTCTAAACAAAACAACTCTTCTAACTTTGCTTAATTCGAGACACACGCTCAGCCTTATCTCTTACAACGCGGACAGCGTTGCTTGTTGCTGGCGGCTTGCCGTTTTTTTTAGTCTGTGCTCAGCTGATGTGTTTAAAATATACGCGTACGGCGCCTGATGTTGCTGCTCTGTCCCTCGCTGTTGGTCCCAGTCATTACTGGTAGCATAGCGCTACCACAAAGTCTACAAACAGCCTTCACATGAGTACAATACCGTCGGTTAAAGCTGTTCAATATGCACCAAAAACTATTTTCTTTAGAACTGCTTTTCGTGTACTTGGTTTGTTGTCCTTCCCCCGCACCACCGATTGGCACGATTGGCTACGTACGGTGCGAAAGAGGTTCAACACACATCCAAACTGAAATCCTGAACTGGGTCAAGAAAAAAGAACTTCGCCAAGTCTGAAGCTCTCTTATCGGAGCCTGCTGCCTGCTTGTTGTGCCGAACCCGTGTTTAAACCATTTCCTATGCGCACACTGCTGAGCGAAAGGCTTTGTTTGTCTTGGCGTGTCGTGACCTCAGAAGGATACTTGACTTGGCACGACGAGGCCACCTTAGCCCCGGCAGGCGTTCAGGAAGGGGAAATCTGGGCGGGTGATTTAACTCCTGGCGAGCCCTCCTGCACAGTTGTTTTACGAGCGGCACGCGGCCGCTTTGCCGAACGTGCACACGAACAGGAATACAAAAAAAAAGGGAACGACGCCGTCGAAAGTGCATTTTGGCGTCATCTGGTCGAGCACCAATTGGGTCGAGGCTCAAAAGAAAGCCGTCCCTTGGTGTGGACCAATCAGTTTCAAGGGCAATGCATCATATCATAGTATGTTTTTTTTCTTTGCATTTTGACTGCAGGTATTGTGGTTAATGCAGACATGAATCCTCGTAACAAAAAGGTTTCGGTTTTGTTGCCAGAAAAAAGGGGAAAAACCCTGTTATTAAGCATCGACTTACACATGGCAAACGATTCCTGCAATGTGGGAACAACAACAACAAATCAACACGTAGTAGCAGGCTTTCGCGAGCAGTATCATCCATAATACATGTTTTTTTGGGTTAGATCACGTAAATATATATAAATGTGTCGTTAAACCCGCCACCACCCGACACAGCCAACTAGTAAGGGTTGTCACGTAAACATAACGTGCCAATTCGTTACTAGTACAGCACACCGGTGTATTGGAGAGTAGACCCACTAGCTTCATCTGGCTGTCGCCTGATGAAGCTAGTTGTAATTATGGCGAAACGTCGTATTCAGATTGTAAATGTTGTGGCTTGGCTCTCCAATACACCGGTGTTGCTGTACTAGTGACGAATTGGCCACGTTCTGTTTACGTGACAACCCTTACTAGTTGGCTGTGTCAGTTGGTGGGGGGTTTAACGACACATTTATATATTAACGCGATCTAATCCCCCTCCCCCCCCCAAAAAAAAGACCTGTATTATGAACAATTCAACACATTTGTCAATAAGACTGCCCGTTTAAATTAAGCCTAGAGTGGGGGGTTTTTGTTTTATTATGCGGCAAGAACGCCGCATGCCACCTCTAGAATAGATACAAGTCGTGAGAGCGAGCCTGTCGTGGCGAGTTCTGCTGTTGAACACTTGAGCGAGTCAATGTTGACGATGGAGCATGAGCAGATATATTTAAGCCGAGCTACTTAAATCTCGATGGAAAACTCGTGTCTTTAGAAGTGTTTCTTATTGTTGTGTGTAGTTTGTTGTCCTTCGCCCGCACCTTCGATTAGCGCGGTTGGCTCGGAGCCGTCCATAAATGACGTCACGGCGTCACACAAAGTCAGACCCCCACCCCCTCAAATTTGACGTCACAAAGCTCTGCCCCCCCCCCCCCAAATATATAAAACATGCTTCAAATCTCTTTAAACTATTGTCATTGTAGTGCGTATTTAATGTGGCGCTGCACTCTGATGTTGTAGGAGAAAACATTTATGTAAAAAAAGTCGATTTTATTAAATAGAACGTGTTGTCTATATTTATTTAAAGTTGCGCATTTTGATGTGACGTCACATTTCTCAAACCCGCTTGTCACACATCGTCACAAATGTCTGACCCCCTCCCCTAGGTGCGTGACGTCATTTATGGACGGCCCCCTACGTACGGCGCGAAAGAAGTTCAACGTGCGTACAGTACAGTTCGTACATACACGGGTTAAACTTAACCCTGCCCGTGCCAGGTCGACAATGGCAAGGTATCGCTGACAACGTCCGTCACGTTTCCCTTGCACGGACTCAAAACGCGAGAACTGAGTCTCAATTGGCCGTCAACCTGGGTTCAATAAGCGTCGCTGAGCGATTCGCCCTGGGTGCGCGCCTCGCTGCTGTTTCAGTGGCGAGGAAGGGCCGAAACACATTTCCATCCCACCTCCACGAGTGGCGGCGACCTGCACCGATCTCGCAAATCGGAAGGTGTGATCCCAACGCGTAGAGAGCTGATGCAAAACAATTGCCGGCTTTATTTCCACAACCCTGAGCGAACACAATGCATGACGTACGTCAACAGAGATCTTGTGCGTCTTTAATGGGCCACGTCTCTTTTTGTGTGCACCGCCCGGAGAAAGTGGCGTGGGGTGTAGGTTGCACCGACGTTCGCACCGTTCGGAGCCACGCGCGCTCATCGGAGGCGCGAAATAAGTTCCACGTGCATCACATCCGTGCGGTGGTAACCACCAGCATGTCACTCCCACGTCAGTGTTTTCCGTTTGGTGCGCGCGGTGGACACGTGGTCGTCGTAGACCACGGTCATTCCACTGCTGGATGAAAGGCCTCTCAAAGCTGTTGTACGTAGCTTGGGGGTGGAGGTGGTGTGGCGTGGAAACAAGTGGCAGCATGCGGCCACTGCTGTGCCTGCAACGTGATGTGAGATTTCCTTTCTGGACGATTTAGATCTGGGAAGGGGGTGATTGGTATCAGGCTGCAGACCACGTGGCGTTGTAACCGACATGCCTGCTGCTGATTAACAGGAGGAAAACTTTGAAACGATATATTTTTCTTCCAATTTTATCCAGATTGCGCCTATTGGCGTCACGCCATGAGACAAAAAAAATTCCAATCGCAGAGACGTACAAACCCGTCGTGTTATAGAGACCAACCTACGGAAGTGGATAATGCAGAGCTAATTCTAAAATCTTTTGAGGTCACATCTGGTCCACAAAGTGGGGGGAGTGGGAAGCACTTTCCCATGCGCTCTACATTTGAGAATAATCTTTGTCGCGTGACAGTCTCAGAAATAGAATTTAGCCAAATTGAGAACAAAACAAATTTCAATGAAGTTGTTTTTGACGCACAATCATCGTCGGTGACTATAATGGAACC